GCTGAGGTAACGGAGGGGTGAAAAGGAAACGCGGGTGGGCTGGGCCTAGACGGTCGTCGGGGCGCTACTTTAAAAGATGACTGCGGGTGCATATCAAGGTAAATTTTTATAATAACAGAGTCGGATTTCGATTAGCGATCTAGAATGTAAATCGCTTCTTATTTTGGTACTCAGCAAGTGATCATTTAGTATTTTTCTCCCCCTGTTACTGTTCGTCGATATTGTGTCGTTGAATTGTTGTTGGTGTGACTGTTCTTGAGTGCCTTTTTTATCAATGGACAATAAAGGGTCATATGCGATCATTTTAATTACGATTGCAGTGAGTTTAATTCATGATGTGGTCAACAATAGTTGTATGACACTTAGAATGAGACAGTGACAGAGAAGAGTGTTAATTTATATTTATCTTAACTTCTGATTTAAATTTATTAGCTGACACTGACTTGCAGGTACCTGGCAGAGAGTTGATTAGTCCCTTTTTTGATCAGAATGATATTTAAACAATTTTTGACTAAATTTTGGACCTGACTACATCAAACGATTATTAAAAAGTAAAGATTCAGAGTATTTTCCAAGCAGTAGTAAAAACACTCCCTGAACTAGCCTACTCCACTGTTATCTTGCATTTTGTATGCGGCGTATGTACTGATTAAAATTCTACATCCTGTACGTATACGTGCGCAAGTGAATAACAAACCGCGATAGTTTGGATAGAAACTGCTGCGCGTAATGTCTAAGCCTTTTTCTCATTTCCTTTTTCCACAGCTTCTGAATGGCGTTTTCCTGTCTTTACACAGGTGCCAGCTACCAAATGGCGCTTATAGTCCAGCGATCTAGTGCATTTCAAGCATTGCCAAAATGGAAGCTTCTTCTATCTTCGAAAAGTCGGTAGAAGGATGCTGAACGATCTTTTATTTTTTATATAACGTTCTAATATGCACGGTGTTCATATGAAAGCCTCCAACCACTGATTAAAAGAAAAAACACCGAGATACGTCGAAAAAGGTGTCAACTTTTTAACCAAAAATTATCTCACCCCCGTTGATCCTCGGCCCTGCCAGGGTCATTCTCTTAAACATTTTAAATGACAAGCGTTAACAAGTAATAGCTGCATATGGCATATTTATTACTAAAATCTTTGCTTACCTTAAAAAATAAACAAATTTCAAGATGGAGTTAGATGATGTCCGAACTATTTTGTGTAACAGTCTGTAAAAGGAAGCTTTTCCCGATTCCCCTAACCTTACGCAGTCCAGAAAGCTCTGTGGGGGGGCCGGGGGGTCTTTGCTTTGCTTATTTTGGATGACATGGGGTGTAGGGGAGTCTAGATGATGATTACGTCATCGGTAGTTATTTACCTTTTTTTACACGAATGGCAACCCTCTCATTGCCTTTGCTTGAAAACGAAACGCATATTCGGGGAATAAAGCATACGTTAAGTGAACAGCGCGCGGTAATTCCCCTACTCGCTTTAGAACCGAGTAGGGGAATTACCGCGTCTAAATTTCCTCTATCAGAGGATTGTTTCGTTTGGACACTACAGCGAGTAGACGTATTGCAAGCATAGTAAAGCAAGTTAACATTTGTGTTACCATTGATTTCAAAGTTTAATGTTTAAATAAGATGTCGTTTCACATAGACAAATCCAAGTTATACCAAAAATTGTTTGAAAGTTTTAAAAAATCTCATACAAGTACGAAAGTACAAAATGTACAAAAGTTAGTTAACGAAATGTGGAGAAATTACAAATTACAAGCAAAATCCGACAAGGAACTAGATATTATTGTATCTAAAACAATCGAAGAAGAATTGCAAGCGGTGACTAAGAATAAATCCAATCTACTAAATTTTTTTTTCTAAGGTGAGTGACGAAATCATTTTAGGTATCTATGAGTACTAGAAATATTAGAAATCGCCAAAAAGTTTCTCTTTACTGATTAGAAAATATTATGGCCTATCTCAAAGTATAGAGGTAATATTCATTATATTATGGATTTATTTCTTATGATGGATTCCGTCAATTGATTACAAAGTAAAGGATGTTAGTTTTATATATATATATATACAGAAAACTAATACCCTGTATTTTGTGACCGGAACGAATTGCTCGTTTAAACGTATTAGATTTAAAGCCATAGGGTTTTGTATGTACCATATATATTGCCATACTTTGTATTTATGTAGCTTAAAAAGAGATTCTTTATCAGAAGCCATAGAAAGTTTTTATTTTTAGGCAACCTAACAAAATTATACAGTCAGCTTCAAATAGTAAAAAAGAGGAAGAAGATAAAAGAAAGCCCGGTAATGAATCACAACAGCAATGCGAAATTAATGAAAATACAGATAAAGAAAATTAGAAAATTATTGTCATGAAAATCCAGAAATAAAAAAAGACTATCTCTGAGGGATTCAGTGTGACGTCCTAATCTTGAAAGCAATCAACATTCACTATTGAAAACAATCGCGGATATAGCTTTATTTGGGAGTGCAGCAGATGATAGAAGACGAACAGAATCAATTCGCAGCGTAAAAACTCTTGATGAACTCACACAAGAATTACGTAAAATAGGATTTGACATTAATCGCAGTGGGACATATCTTCGTTTGATTCCCAGAAAATCTAATTCTGCAGAGGGACGAAGACATGTATCGACAGTCCCTGTGAAGGTCATTCGGGCTCAAACTGATCACCACACGAGCCACTTAGATAGCAAGTTCGCTGAAACATCAATCCATTATTAAGAGAACATAGCATCCATACCTGGACCAAATCAAGTATTTTTCATATCTCAAGATGATAAAGCTCGAGTCCCTATTGGCGTAACTGCGGCAAATAAGCAAGCACCTCTTCTAATGCACATGGAATATATAGTCAACGCCAAACAAAGTGGCGTGCACGTCATCACGATAAAAATTCCCCGACCTAATGCCTAGGTTTCTATCACAAACAATTGCTCTATTGCAGTTTCATATTAATGTGATATATAAATTGTAAAATGGTCATTACTCTCTTATTATGGTTAATAGTCATATAAACATTGTTATTAAAATATCACATAAGTTGCTTTCTGATAAATTTAGACGCATTATGCGAAATAAAATGTTTTGCAAACGCTCCAATCACTTATCGACATGTAAACGCACTAAACCGATTTCGCAGCGTTGACACATTGTCACCTTGAAACTTATTTAAACTGGGAACTGACATTTGTATTAATTTTGACACTGAATCAATTTGTGGCATTTCAAATCTTTATAAATCCTTTGGCCCCGCATACTGTAAATCAACAACTGTTTGTTTCAAAACAAAATTATTCATTTTACGAGTAGATCAAGGCAATTTTGGTATATAAAGATGCCCAAACAGTTAAATAGTCGGTGTAAGGAACTCGTGGTCTCGTTAATGCACTACTTTGAGCAAGAAAGGGACAACAACGGGACTTTGTTGCCTTTAAATGCTGTTCAAGAGGTAGGTTACTAATAATTATATGTAATGTATATTAATAATAGTGAAATTTTATTTCATTTTTTGTAGCGTGTTGCTGCTGCTTTAAAAATTAGTTTAAGGACAGTTAGTCGTATTTCCGAGGGTGTGAAAAGTGGTGCAAATTTAGAATCGCCCAAGAAAAAGCGGAGTTATATTAAACGTGTAACCAACTCAGCGACATTGGATACAAGTGCCATTCGAGAAGTGAACTATAATATGTATCACAAAAGTAAGATCTTATTATAATAACTTATCAGAAATTTGCATTAATTTGTTAACTAAATTATAATGTCATATTACACATGGTTTCAGAAGAACAAGTTACGATACAAACTTTATGGTATCGATTAAGAGATAGGGCATTATTTGATGGTAGTGCCACGTCTTTAAGGCGGTTGCTTAGAGATCTTGGATTTAAGTGGCTTAAGGACAATCCGCGACGAGGGCTCATGGAACTACCAAGTATAGCTTTGAAAAGGGTGGAATTTCTAAGGCAATACAATCAAGCCAAGGTTGAGGCCTTATACCAGTTTGTCTTCCTCGATGAAACTTGGATATTTCAAAATGGGACCATAGGTCGCTCTTGGCAAAATGGAAACCAAAAAAGCGTGAAAGCTATTAAAACAGATGGTAAAAGGTATGTACTTTTACACAATTTGCACTATAAAATTTAAACCTAATATATTTTAGATACATTATATTACATGCTGGAAATGAAAATGGGTTTATTGAGGGTAGTGAAGCGATATTTTCTTCGAAAACAAAATTGAGCGATTACCATGGAGAGATGAACCAGGACAATTTTTTGAAATGGTTTCAACATCAGTTATTAGAAAAATTGGAGAGTCCATCTATGATTATACTGGATAACGCCCCTTATCACAGCATGATATTGAACAAAGTGCCCAACAATGCATGGACAAAAAAAAATATCCAAGACTGGTTGACAAATCAAAACATACCATTTTTAAACACAATGTTTAAAACAGAGCTATTGAGTATTGTTGCTCGGTACATAATGCTTCTTAATTATATATATTTTGGTCGACAGTTTATATTTCTTTTGTTTATTCCTATTCTTAAAATAACTGCTTTTTTAGAAACAAACCACCTAAAATATACGTGATTGATGAATTGGCGGAACAACATGGGCACAAAGTTCTTCGTCTGCCTCCTTACCATTGTATATTTAACCCTATTGAGTTAATTTGGGGCATAGCAAAAGGTTACTATAACAGACATATTGGTAGAGATGGTAACAGTGAAAAAGACTGTTTGGATATGTGGAACGAGGCTCTACAAACGGTTACCCCAGACATGTGTAAAAATAGTGTTCGACATACTGAGCAAGAAATTTTTAAATGGTATGAAAGAGAACGAATTTTTGATCGACCAGACATCGAACCTTTAATAATCAACTTTGAGAGTGATGAAGATTCAGATTCAGACAGCGCTGAAGAAAGAAACTCCGACTAACTTTATTGTACAGAAAAAGCTTACACCAGTAGCTTACCTAATTTTAGAATGCATTTTTCTGTATGAATTCTGTAAAATAAATACCATGCATAAAATTTGGAGGACCCCATTTGGATTTTTATTCAGTACCTTTAAGCTATCAATTAAATATGGTAGTTTCATAGTGTCATCTGATCAATAATTGTCATACTTAATGATTATGCAAGTACAGATCTATAATTTTATTATACTATTATTTTTGTTCTCATTTGAGGTTAATATTGCTTATAAACCTAGATATGTAAATAATAAATTTTATTATCTTTTGGCAACAATGTAAATTTTTCAACACACCCACCTTGATGACGTGCACGCCACTTTGTTTGGCGTTGACTATAGAATCAAATTGCCTGATCACGATTGGGTAATGGCTGAGCGTCATAAATTAATACCATCTGTTTATGCTGGTATCAAGATCACTTCCAATATACTAGGCAACCGCAAGCCTTTGGACATTCTGGACCAACATACATCGCTGTTTGAAGTAGAAAGCATAGTTCATCTACTGCTAATACTCATGCTCAGGATTTCGAGATGCTTCTCGAACTTGAAGAGTTTCGACCATTAGCTAAAACTGACCATGGACTAGTAAAAACCAGTGGTAATCATGACGGTTGATGGAGGGTCAGATGAAAATCCACGTTATCAAAAAGTCATAGGGTTTGCTATACAACACTTTAAGCGACATGATCTCGATGCATTGTTTCTAGCTACCAATGCTCCTGGAAGAAGTCCGTATAACAGAGTAGAGCGCAGAATGGCTCCTCTTAGTCGGGAACTGGCTGGTTAATATTGCCTCATGACCATTTTGGGTCCCATTTGGATGAACGTGGTGTTACAATTGATGAACATTTAGAAAGATCTAATTTCGAATTTGCAGGAAATGTATTAGCTGAAGTATGGAGTTAATGCAAAATATGTTGGGGCAGGTGAACAAGATCTTCCTAATTTTCCAGACATTAAATTGTATTCAGAACACTTGCTTCAAATTGTAACATGTAGAAATACAGAGTGCTGTCATCCAAGAAGTGGCCTATTTAGATTACTAAAAAATAGGTTTCTTCCATCACCTGTAAAAGTAAAACAAACAGTTGATGACTTGGTTTTGGATGAAGGAGGACAATTTCTTAATCTTCCAGTCAATTTAGCTCTACGCTTAAGTGCTTCACTCGAAGATTTCCTGCAAATGCCCTACGATGATTTTTATCCGACGGTAAAATTGAGGCTATCAAGTCGAACATGCAAAACGTGTGGTCTTTATCATGCTTCCGTCAAGTCACTAAATCGTCACATCGAAAATATCCATAAAAAAGTAAACACGCACACCGATAGGAAAGTTAGACCTGTAAGAGTCGCTGCTCGTCGTGCTAATGAACTGATGTGCATTATTCAAAATTTAGAGCACCATGATGTTGAATGGCTCGATGAGAACGACGTAGACATTCCAAAATCCGATGAAAGCGAGCAAACTCACAACACTGAGCAGCAATCGAAGCAATCCAATGTCATCGAAAACTTAGAATCATGGATTCGGGTTTCTTGAACTGAATACTGATAATTTGAATTTAATATATGTACCAAAAATTTAAAATAAGTTTGTTATGTTAGTAAGACATAATATTTTTGTCCTTTACTCTCTGTTGAATAGCGTATCAGTAAAATATAATCTCTATCCTAAATCTATTTTCTTATTTTTCAAATTATAATTATAACGTTATAATTATAATATTAAAAAAAAACAATACATTAATTGACAAATGTTTACGTAAGCATGGGGGAAGGGGGTAAGAGCTTTGCTGACTTTAGCTGACAGGGGGGATGGGGAGGTAAATAATTGTAATAAATCTGCTTACGTAATACTCGAACGGCCCCTAACACATTTTTTTTTGGAATCCTCATAGCAGCATTTAGGCTTCTGAGAATATATCCAACACCTGTAATCCGACTACCGGACTATCTAAATATCTTACAAAATCTATAATACTTCAAAATGATTTTCTGGACGTTAGATATGGAAGCCCTGAACCAAATAAACGTGAACGCATGTTTTATATTCACATTCGATGTTTGGAATCCGATTTCAGATATTGGATTTTGTTTCTGTTAGTCTAGCTGTAGGGTGTAGTATCGAGCAATTGATTCAATTTTATCTCGACGTGATTGTTTTGTTAAGATTTTTAGTGAAATGTTTCAGAAGCTATTTGCTCTCAATAAAATACTTCGTAGATAGAATATCGAAACTCTGCCAAATATCCAGCGAAATGCATAGGTGCTTGGTGAATTTTTTGTGGTTAGTTGGTCGACAGTTATGTTATTACAAAAGATATCTGAAAAGCCATGTACAAACATTAGAGGAAAACATCTTCATCTACAGAGTAGCAACATAAGCATGCATCGTTTCACATGAAATACCCTTGATATTACACACTACAGGGTTTGCATCGCTACTTATGGAACTGCGGGAGCACGTATAGCTTTAGCACCCCAAACCATAACTCCAACAGTGGGATGAACATGTCTTTCAACAAAAAACTGTGGATTCCTCCTTTCACCACGTCGCCTTCTAACCCTGGCACGACCATCGTGTATGCCTAAACAAAATCGAGACTCGTCACTAAAGACAATACTGTTCCATTCCTGATCCCAGAGTGACCGTTGTCTGCACCACTCAAGGCGATTACGTCGGTGTTCTCGAGTTAAAGGGAGGACCCAGTGTGGCCGGTATGAAAACAAGCCAAAACTTCTCATTCGTCGGTAAACACTTCGCATGCCAATAGGTCTTCCGTGTTCTGCAAACCATTCATTTGCAATGGACCTGGTAGTGGAGAAACGGTCCCTTAAGGCCAATAAATAATCTTAGGCGGCGATCTTCACGGTCTGTTGTTCTACGGCGGCGTCCACTGCCCCTTGCTCTTTGCGTACGGCCTTCTCGAAGCCATGCCTGACAACACCTAACCACAGTGTCTACACTTCTTTGCACTCTAACTGCAATTGCCCGAAAAGAAAGTCCAGCTTCCCGAAGTCCCACTATACGGCCCCTATCAAACTCACTAAGTTGACGAAATCGTACAGGTCTCCGTACTCTGGGCATCGTAACCGATCGTGAAGGATGTCAAGAACCAAAATCCGCCAACGTTGATTCTTTACTGCGGCTGAAATATTCATTTTTAGAGCGTTAGTGAATTAAAAAAAAGCAGTATAAAAACCGGAATGTCCAACTGATAAGGCTGAAAATTTTTTCACTTGTTATTTACAGTAAGATAAATACATTCACCAACTTTTATTAAAATAAAACCATTTAAACTGTATAGTATAGTTCATCGACATTAAAACGATTTCTAATTATTTACATTGTCTCTACTGGGTGTTTATGGAAATAAAATATACTTTTTCTCAACAAACAAAAAATCATGGGATATCCTGAACATTGTTACGGTTTTTGGGTTATCCTTCTTATAAGCTGTATTTTAATTTGGAGGAGTGAATGTACTCAATTTTTGGGTTATGTGAAACTACTAAAATCCAAAATAAGTAATTGCTACATGATTAATAGAAATATTGAGATTACCTTACGCACTATAGAAGAAAAACTCCCTCATATTTAGAAAAGTGCTAGCTTTTATATGTAAAAATGCTACTTATAGCTAAACATTCTGCTTTCTTCCGTCCCACCAGATAGCTGTTTCGTGCTTTTTGGCAACTCATCAGCATGATATGGGGGCGGTCTCTGAGACAAAGGATGGAACCATGGCTATCTTATGTTCGAGAAGATGAGATCTATCGAAATAAGGCAGCGCAAAGCGCCATCTATTAGGAGACTTTGCTATATCCTGAAGCTCTTTTACAATTCATGTACCCTTAGTAATCTCACATTACAAGTTGTCCATGGCTTTCAGGGAATACTTGACTTTCGAAGAGTCTCACATTTCGGGCAAAATAAGCTTTAACTTTGCCGTTTCATGCTTTTTAACCGTCATCAGTACCGTATATGTTTAATCATTCAGAGACGGATGACGGACAGGTTTGACGTGCATTGAAAGGAGCTATCTTGTCTAAAAACCGTTTCTGCGGTTCTCATTTAGTTTTGCGATTCATATGTCTATCGGGATCTCGCATTTCACGTTTGCCACGTCCGCATCTGCAGCTCCAGTGCGCAGGAAGTGACCGTAAACGACATGACGGCTTCAAATTTACGATAGCAGCTTCACGTTTCGTGTATTTTCGTCACAGCGCAGCGAAAACGTAACGTAAATCTGGTCATCGTGTATGTCTTTTTATTAGAGTAGACTTCAAGTCCCTACGGAAAAGTGTCGGACGTTATAATCCCGTGAACATTCAGATACAAAGTTGAGAGTAAGGTCCGACTATACAGGGTGTTGCAGAAAGACGTGTCAATAGTTGTAGGGTAGAAAGTACATCAAAAATAATAAAAAGAGGTAAATGTTTAATGGAAAAGTGATATCGAGGGGAGGTGACATTGATTGGCGACCACAAGGACCTGACTTGTTATGGGGATATCTTAAGAGCCGAGTCTACGATGCTAATCCTAAAATCCTGATAATTTTCAAAACATAAATTGTCAGTTATATCATAAAAATATTAGCAAACTTTTCTAGGTATAATCTGCCTTCATTTACATTGCTTTCAAAAGAGAATTTTATTCTAGCACACCCTGTATAACTACGGAACGAAAAGATACTGAGTTAAGATTTCCGACGTTCAGTAAGCACATCATAAACAATAAACACACATAGTTTCTCTGTCCGAGCTTTGCCAGGGGGAACTGGGGTTCCTGGACCCCTAGTAGAAAGTATGTTCTCCGCCACTGGCCTTTTCGAAGGAAAGAAGTGCGTTTTATAAAATAAAATTCACTTTTCCATACATTTTTTCTTTTTAAAAATGCCACAGGTCTGCAATTATTTATAGCACTGGTATCGCATTTCTTATGGGTAGGGATAACTTGACCGGAAACGCCCCTGTACAAAACAATAAATTAATTAGGTAGTAAGTCACTTGAAATAGCATAAAAA